CTTCGCAAAAGTAGATCCACAGTTTCACGTTGCCTGGAGTAATATGTAAAGAAATCAGTAACGGGTTGATTAGTTTATGAGAAAACGGAGCATTTATAATGATTTTTTAAAGAAAAACACTCATACAGTTTTTACTAGGAATTACCCATCCTATTTGTTGTATTATTTTACGTGAAAACCACCTGATCCATATTGTGAATTATGCTCTTCATTGCTGAGATCTACGAAGAAGCAGCTTTATTTTCTTTTCCTGTCTTTTTTTCGGCATTTTCTCTGCTGAGAACTCTTCTTTCGGGACGGAAGAGGGACCTTGACTGGATAAATTCTGGAGTTACAATTTTCATTACTAAACGTATATTCCGCATTATTCAAATTGTTAACCTCAACAGTCCTCACATTTGCCTATCTGTGCTAATGAACATTCAAAACGCAATAAAACTTTTTTAATAAATAATAATCAAAATGTTCAGAAAAGTCTAGAGAATATTTCAATATTAAAAAACAAAATTCGATATTTCTCTAATTTTTCGGGTGGAATCTCACCTTAAATGAGTTTTCATACAACGCTAACACAGTAGGCTCAAATAGATTAATGAATACTGAAATTGTGTATTTAAAAATATGAACTCATGTAGCACTTTTCCATAAGTATACGTTACTAGCAGAATTACGCCCCGCCTCAGTCTTCCGCCTCCGTCAGAGCTGCTACGATCTGTCCTCGTGCCGCAGTGGCCCCCCTCGCTGTCGTCTTATAGCTCAGCATTAGTTACATCCCGCACCGCCCGCTAGTCCTGTCTTGCTCGATCCCGCCCCGCGTCACATGGCAACGCCCAACAACAATTAAGCTCTGGTGGATTGGGAATTGTATTTAACTGAAGCGCCATCTTGTGGAACGTTAACACAAAGTGAACAGCATAAAAACCTTCCCCATGAAAAAACACTAAGGTATGCCAATTTTCATGGAGATAGGTCAAACAGTGTCGGAGTTTATCGGTGTCAACATAAATTTATTTGTATTAACTTTCTACATAATTTACTAGAGTTGGCGGGAGTTGGCTAGCTCGATTTGGCCAGGCCTGGTCTACACCAACTAGATTTTTATACGGAAGTTTGGGGGGATAAGGTTCACGATTTCTGGTACTATCTTCAAGGGCATTTTGGGGGGATTCAAGACCCATACGAAAGGATTGCCAAATTACCGTTTGATTTATTGGTTCCATTTTGTCAAACAAATTTGAAAACCTCTCTTGGATTCAGAAACAGGCTAAAGGAACAAATTTTGGCGTCACTATTTACCATTTCATCAATATTCACTATCCTCGTTCTTCATAAACACCTTTTGTGATATCAATTAAATAATTTGCACATTTTTAATGGGAGTTAAAAATAGTATTCATTAAAAGAATGTGAAATATCACATTATTTAATTTTTTCCTACATTTTCTACTTTTATAATAAAATTTTGACCATACAAACTTCTAGGGGAAAACAGAATCACTTATTTGTCAGTGAGGACTACGTGAGTGCTGGCAGCACACTAGTCACTATCTTAAATAATTTTTTTAAAAAAATGTTTCAAAACTTTTCTTTAATTACTGATAAAACACTGGTAAAGTGCACAAGAATTGCAGAGATTGGATTTGATTTTTCTTAACAAGCGCACTTACACCCGTACGTCGGATATGCTGTTTGGAATGAGAGAGCCTGATAACATCACACAGGGAATGAGAATTTTTGTTGAATGCATGTGCTAAAATGCTGGGAATTAGGCTCTTGAAGTCTGCAATATTCACAGCACCGAGCTTGACAATGCCTCACAGTTTTGGCATTTATTGGCCAGTTTCATACTTGTAACCGTCAACAGACGACACAGATAGTCACAGTAGTGAACAAAATTGGACTTGTAAAACAATTTAAAAATTTATATTTTACACTTGACAAAATAAATTAACTCTGAATTACCAATAAAAAAATTACTTACCTAAAAAAATGTATGTTAAATAAAATTTTTGGTGTAGCTAATATCATTTTCATGTGAATGTATTTTGCACTAAAAATAATCATTGAAAAAAATTTTTATGTAATTTTAGTACACAATTTTAAACAATTTCTAAAATAACTTCATCAAAATTCTTTAAAAACCGTAGTATGTTCTTTGGAAGTGGGGTAGATTTTTATTTGCACCGGGTGTTGGAAAGGCTAGTTATGCCACTGCTAATAACACAGCTAGTTTTCAGCACCAGCCTTCACTGTTCTCTATCTGATAAAATACTCTTATAAGTTATAGGTCAGATTTTACAGTACTTGAACATTCATTTTCATTAGATTGAAAAAGATACAAGGAGATACAGATCAAAATGTATCAACTCCAAGACAAAATATAATGCATTTTTAAGTTATTATGTTTTAGGATTTAATATTTTTTAGTGAGATGATTATAGTTTCTCCATTATTTAAATAACCTCCATATTCTTTGATTCTGTATATCTTTGGTGTACGGTGTATCTTTGGTACATAAAGTTTAAAACATACAAGATTTCACTTTGAACTACATTGAAATTAATTGTGGAGTTAATACATTTTGAACTGATGCTCTGTGTATGATACTGGGTAGTAAAATTTCAAATTGTTGAAGTATTATAAGTTTGCCAAAGGTCAAGAGTATAAAATTGGCTTTGTCATTTTCTTAATTTTTCTCCAAGACCAATGCATTTTGATGTCGTTCAGACAGTTTACCACTTAGAAATACTATTTGATAACACTGTCAAGAAACAAAATATTCTAGATCAAGAATTTCTCTCTGGGATGGATTGTAAGAAACTGTAAAGCATAAAAATCTCTAAGTAGATAAAAAGTTGTTCCAGACTATCTTCTTTTGAGACGAGCAAGGATATTGAATCCTTCACTATATTTGACTGACTCTGCTGAAATTACTGAAATACTGTCACTGACATTTTGCGAACTGCTAAAAGAATTGCAAAAGTACAGAGGAATACACAAGTATTTTCTGTGAACAAATAACTTGCTTTCATTTCTATGAAAATATTTTGATATTGTAATATAATTAATATATTAATTTATGTGTAATAAATCAACTTAATTTGTCCATGTTCTTTGCTCTTTTGGACTCTCCATGTTTTTCCTGATCATTTCAGTATTCATATCCATTCAAATTTCTACATGTATTAGTAACATCAAAGACAATTTATTCAAACTACAAAACTTGCTATTATATGCTCATTACATTTCTCAAAATAAACTTTAATTTCTTCATTCCGTGTATTATATTGAAATACCTATGAGGCATTGCTCATAACAACTCTTAATCAAATTATGGAAACTATACTTCGCAGTTGGCTTGCATCTTCTCTATATTAGGAAGTTGCATTTAAATGCTTTACATTAATATAAGAGAGAAAATGTATATTATGAGAAAATAGGTACTTTATAATTACCTTTTGTTTTAATTTCACTCTCTTTTGAAAACAAAGTAATGGTTTGGTCAAGCAACCAATAAATTTTCTTACAATTTGTAAACACAAATGCATATCTGATTGTCAGTGTGAATGAATAACTCCTGTTTTGTTACATCTTATTTTATGCCATGATGTATTATCATTATATAAATGCATCACATTTTAACTTCAACATTTTCTTCTAATGTTCTGTACTTTGCCTTTAGACATTAGCATTCCTATCCAGTTTAATGAATAATATTTATTTTGTCTCAAAGAAAAATGTGTGAAAGTGAGTTGATTGAAGGAAAACTGAATGAGTGAGTGATGTGTGAAAGAAGAGAACTGTTGGGTAAGAAAGAGGTTTGGATGTCCTATTCAAACATTTTTAAGATTCAAAATACGAGGTGATTAATACAGAAAATTCTACAATACCACAGTCTGCGGATAGAAAATGAACAAATGATTATCTTATGTCAGGAATAAATACTCTAAAATTTTTCAATCAAAGAGTATCACAAAAAACCTCATTTTGGTGTAGATAATAATCATCATAATTCTGTGTTACACATTTCTATAGATAAGATAATAATGTTAGTACCTGCAGTGTACTGCAAAGACCTTTGATAGTGTATTTTTCAATAAATAATATGTAACTACTTGTAAGCCAATGGCATTCAAAGAAACTATATGAAGTTATGGAGCAGATTTAGTAGCTTGTTAAGATAAGTAACTCATGTTGAATGATCTGGAGATCATCAGATACATTTTTTTAAAGTTACTTTGCACAGCACATTTAATTGCAATTTCTTTGAAATGAACTGTATAATTGAATTGTTAAGATATAATTGTTATATTGTAATTTGTTGTATGTATGTGATGTTTTTGTGATATTTGATTTATTGAAACTAGAACAATGTGTATGTTTATTGTGCATGAAAATAAATATTCTTGTAAATTGTCATAATAAAATAACATGTAAAGTAGTTTTGTAGGCTTATGTACTTAAATCATAGTAAAAAATATGAAAATATATTAATATATCTTTATATACGTATCATACGCTTGTGCTGTGTTGTAGAATCTGTGTGAAGATTTTATTTGCGGCATGCTACTTGTAATTAACCCATATCTTCTCTCAACCAGTAGATAATATGACTTCAATTGTACTTTGTAAATACTATTTGGTCACTTGCTTGTATATGTACTATCAATATGCAAGTAATAAATCTGAGCATTTGTATATCAGAAAAATTGTGATTTAAAATGCATTATCTGCAAATCACAAATGCAAAAGTGCTCACTTTATACTTTTATTTATTATTATAACTTACTCTTGAATATTCAGATCTGCTAACTCGGTTTTAAGAAATAAAACCTATACCATCTGCTTGTTTGATGAGAGAAAGAGCACACAACTACTGAATGAGGCACTCATGCCTGATTACTTTAGTGTTTGACTTCAATCTGCGTTCTGATAGCAGAAATCATCAAGGGATAGTAGCTTGCATACTATTGCTTCAACCTGTCTACTTCCTGTTGCAGTCAGAGGAGAGAGGCGGGTCTCGGCCACGGCCTTCCCGTCGCAGCAAGTCTGAGGGGCCCCCTACTGGGTCCACTGGTTGTTGCCCAGGGCCTGGTTTTGGTGTCAATGCTGGCACTGGTCCCATCCAATCTGAGTACCGCTTACAGTATATGAGGGTTGATAGCCCTCCACCTCAAGGCCGCACTGTGAGAAGCGACTCGGACCCCTGTGAAGGAGATATTGACCAGGAAATGGTAGGCGAGTCCGGGCTTATCTGATCACTGAAGACATACCTGTTGGAGCCTGCAGTAGAATTGTGCGGCATGATAACTAGGCATTCCCTTTCGTATATGATTACTGTCTTAAAGATGCTATGTTGCTCCATGTACCCTATATTGCTCACAGATTCCCTGTCTTCCTCACAGGGCACAATTTTGTAATATAGTTTTGGTCTTGTTTTTGTTGTGCCTATTTTAACTATATAGCATGTGGTAAGAGGCGTAGATTGTGAATTTACAGTTCCGCATGTCTACAAAAATTGTAGTCCTTGCTCCTTTCAGATGCTACAAATCATCAGAATGCTTGGGTCTGACCTCGGCTTGGTCAGACAGAAGTCCCAGACCTACCGTTGCATGAATCCTTCACAAATGCGCATTTTCTAGAGAATATTGTGAGTTTTTACACCATACTTTTTATTAATCACCTCATTTGGCTCTAGCAAAGTCACAAGAGTTTGTATATATGTCATTCAAATTTTGAATTCACTAGAATATGCCATCAGTTAGCATGCTACTTACTGCTCCAATTCCTTGATTATGAGATTATTTTCACAAAAATATATTTAATGCAGCAAGATTCTTCTAGGCAATGTTATTTTACAAACTATTTATCAGAAGTCTGATGCATTTTGAAGGTGGAATGTGCAATTTTTGTAAATGTTAACATTTTAATTTGACAAAATGTTCTTGTAACTTAACAGTCATAATTAGAATTTTATGAACATATGTAGAAAGTGTAAGTTTTTGTGCAAAGGAAGATAACTGTATTTGTATGCATTTCACTGGATTTCATTTACAATCACATTAAATATATGATACAATGTATATTGTAACTACTCATTCGATCAAAATTCTATATGCTGAGAGTGTAAAATATTCTAGTTGAAAGTTACATGCATTATATAAGATGCATAGCTAAAATAACTTCAGAAATATTGGCATAAAATAATTCTAGAATTGCAATGTGGATGTGCGAGTATTAAAGTATTTTATTCACTCATTGTACAACTAATGTTATTGAAAGAAATGCATGAAAGCATACGAGTGATCTTTAAAGCATTAATGATTTTAATGATAGATAGAGGTTTTTTTAAAACATAATGCTTTCAGAAAACCTTTATTACTTATTTAAAACTATTTTTTCCAAAGAAAAATGTTGTAACCTAGAAGAAATAATCATCCTTCTGTAAGTATGGATTAAGTACATAATGTATCAAATTCAAACAATACTATGCAGTTTTCCTGACATAGTAACAGATTTTGTGGTAAAATTATTGCTAATATTCAAACAACTTCAATATTTGGTGTTCTAGTAGGTATTACAAAACAAAAAAATTGTATCTTTTAAAGCCATTTCTCACTGCAGATACATATGCTATCAAACAATAATGAAATATTTTATCGTGTATTGTTTTTGTATTGAATAAATCAAAGGCATGTGCAAATCTAATCAGTGTCATAGATAAAACTGATTGGATTATTTCTAATTTATTTCTAAATACACAGACTCTGAAAAGAAATGTTTAGGTGCAGATATAGTAAGCCATTACAATTCTCTAAATTTCCTGATGTTTTTATTGATTCATTTATTTGATTATGTGACACCATTTCATCATGATGTGGGTCACATCAATAGTAAAGCAATACAATATATATTGTGTAAAAGAAACAGGAATAAAGTAATTTATTGTAAATATTTATTACGAAAAATTTACTACTTGCATTACTATTAATTCTACTCAAATCCACTATTTGATTTTATTACATTGGTAATGAGTAGGAATTTGCTTTTCCAGTTTCAAAATTGATAGTTATGTTTTAGCTGTATACTTGCTTAGAAAGACTTTCGGGAGCATTCTTTCCACCATTTAATGACATTCTGATTTTCCCTGATAGATGATATTGTGTTATGTTGAGTTATATCTTGTCTGTGCTGAGGCCTAGTAATTGTGACTAGAACTTGAATTAATGTCATTTGGGGGCAAGTATTTATATCATATGCACCCCTGATATAGCATCTGCCCAATGAATCAATTTTGTGAGTCTCAAACAAAAAGGAATTTATTTTCTTTCTCATTCTTTCTTTTATTTTATTTTAATTTCTAATTTTTGTCATTATTTTCTCCCTTTCCTTTCCTTTTTTCATCTCTCTACAAAAAATATTATGTTTGTATTGCCAAGCACTGATCCATGGGGAGGGAAATTCCTCTTACCCGACCCTCAAATTTTACAGTTACTATTAATTTTAACTGGTTACAAATGTTTCAAGCATAAATATTTTTAGATAATCATTAAAACGAATAAAATCATATCACACCATGAGCTGAGTGTAGCCTAAGACATTTTACAAAATGTGTGATATGACATATTTGACCAAAACATTTTTAATTTCCCCTCCCAATATTTGTCTCGGATCCACCCCTGATATAGCATATGCCCTATGAAACCACAATATTTACCTCACAGTGACAAATTATATATTTTATACTCTATGATTTAAACAATTTATTCAGCCATTGTTATTGTTTTCTAGGTCTCAAAAAAAATTAAATTTTTTCACTCAACAAAAAAAAAAGATGTAATATTTAAGAAGTTGCAAACTTTGTAGCTGTTAACGTTTGTTATTCTAATATCATCGTAGGGCATCCTGCTTGACAAGTTCAATAATGCAGGTTTTTTTGTTGATAAAGATATCATATCATATCATTCCATTAAATTTTCTTGAATATATTGAGAAATAAAAGAAAACTATATTTTATGACTATAATTGTGACTGAGTAGAAAGAAATTCATTTGAAAAATAAAATAATTTTAGTTTTATTGAAGTAAACAAGCTCTGATTATGAACTTATTTCAGCTTTATCAATTATATATTTTTTAAGGTTTTAGCCTTACAAATTTCCATGTGTTTCCATCTTTCAATCATTTATTAAAAATTATTGACTAGTTCATAAATAGCTTAAATAACTTAATATTCCTCATGGAAATATATTAATACCAGGTGACCATTTGGTTCATATATGATAATTGACAATATACATTTTTCATTTGAGTTGTGACAGCTTAACATTGTATCTACAAAACTAATTTATGTAGAAATTATGTATACCATATACATTAGTAATACAAATCTACCATGAGAAATATTATTGGGATGGAAGGGATGTAAAACCATTACTTAAATTTCTTATTATTTAATGGTATTGTGTTATTCAGTGGATATCATTGTATTTTGTGTATTACTGTTACGAAAATGTACGAAAAGCCCAGATCGTTATCATATGCAAAAGAATGTATTCAAAAACAGTGACATATTCGATTTCTGTGCGGTCTGAGAAGTTATTTTTGAGAAGTAATTGATGAACTGATGAAGTGAATGCTAGGGTATGAACACTATTTTTTTGGCCATCATGAAAGAATATAATGAATGAAATTAACTTACTTGCACAGTGGTTATTCAAGGTGTTTAGTTGCAAGAAACAAAGATATTTTAACATATTGGAGTGATTCCTTAATTGCTATTTCTAGAATTTTACAAACTTTCTTGCACTGAACATGTATTTTTCAAAACAGCTGATACGTCTAAAAGAATTAGCTTCTAACCGTTATAAAAGTGAAATGAGCTTTGTTTGGAGTTGCCAATTTCTTCCAATAGTTTTACTTAAATTTTTTTTTCCAATCAATGACTAATTAGAGGAATTCTATTTTAACATAACATTTATTAGCATATTGCTTGTTTTAATCAAGTTTTGCTATAATTTCTTACGGTACATTTTTAACATGTATTAAAAGAAAAATTTCATTTGATAACATGGGTTTAAACAGTGAACTGAAATCGAGCATCAGTATCATCATAACAAGCCAAGAAACTGAAGAGTCTGAAAGAGAGCAAGAGAGAAACAAGAATGTAAACCACCATATCTCCTTGTGTTATTAAGTGTTTAATTATAACTTATAAATATAATTATTAAATATACTTATTTAAAATGATTTTAGGACCTTTGAAAAAATGTATCTGAATAATGTCAGTTACAATTCATGTTCATGTTAATGTTCTGTCTCTAATAGTGTAACTTAGAGCTCTGGTTCTCACACTTCCTACAAACTGGGACTTGTTCATTCAAAAGTGATTTTGTCAACACAGTAGGGTGTGAATTCAAAAGGATATGCTGGGGATCATCTCTTTACAGACTTTGATATCCCTTGCTGGAAAAGTATTAATTTGTTCGTGCCATGGATGAAATTACTCCTTTTCTAGGTGCCTCATGTATGGTTTTCACAATTTGAAATGTTCAAATCAAGGGAAGTGAGGAAAATTTTCCCAAGAGGATTGTTAAGATGTATTCAGACTGTGCTGCAAAAACAAAAATTGTCATTGTTTTACTCTTCACTTCATCAATTTGCTCTTCCCTCCTCTGGAGTTTTGAACATTCCTCTGAAGAAAGTTGCTGATTTACACCCTCAGACTCTGGATGGCATACAAAAATGTATAGAATTAAAATTGTGAATATTAGTGTTAAAAATATTCAAAGAACAATTATAATCATTTTTTAAAATATTGTGCAAGTACTTAATTTATTTGAATTACCAGTACAAAAAGAAACTGTAATTAAAATATTTTTTTGTCATGACGAGTTTTCTATTTTTCAACAGAAAAGTATTTTTGTAAATGAAGAACTTATTTTTTACAAATAGTTTTGTATTTAATGTGTATGTAGGTGAATAGAAATCATTCTGTGAACCCTGTGGATTATGTTTGTAGATCCTTGAGAGTTAGTCAATTCCAATTTGAAAGCTACTACCTAAGAAATGATTGAAATGAATATTAAATTTAACAGATATTTGCTATAATTCACTGTTAGTTTTTTAATCTCTGATATAAAGAACT